CAAAGCTACTCGAGTTTAGACTTTATCCGTTGCTCACTGTACCGGTACAGTGGGTTGAAATTTACACTCAATTTTATTTCCTCAAAAGTGATTTCATCTCTGCAATGATTTTCCGCTTTCAGATGTTTCACTCAAAATGCATACATGTGTACACATGTACATGTACATGCACATACATGTATGGGTCACTTGAATGTGTGTACTGTTTTTGTTACAACAGCGGGAATCAACATCCCTTCCATACGGTACGTGTGGCCTATCCCCCACCTTCCCTTCCCCCACCCCCTTCCCCCTTAGATTACAAACTAATAGCAAAAACAAGGATTTTCTGAAAAAAAACCTGAACAAAGCCAGAAAACCTGAGGGAAAAATTATTGTACCGTACATATTCAATGGCCCTTGCTGCCAAAGCCATTTGTGCACATGCATGCGTAATTACATGTATGAGTTTATCAGTGAAAAGTCTTTGGCATACCCTGTGTAAGGTACACATACACCCACACCAACCTTGAGCCCAGAACATTTTACTTGGACATTTGTACATATACATGTAGGTTTTGTGTATGCAAACCCAATGCGATGTACATGTACATGTACATGTACATGTACATGTATCATCCCATACAGAGCAAAGAAGCACGAATTCTCAGTCGTCCCAATACAGAAAACGGGTAGGAATGTCCAACAGTAACAAGAGCCATGACCTTGAAGCTGCTTGATTCTCATTTTTGAGATGCCAGGTCAGAAATGTACAATGTATACCTATGGAAATACCGTACCATACCATACGCGCCAGTACGGAAAATGTAACTTTGACGACACCATGGTCAATGATGCCGTAAACCACATGTGCTAAGGAGTTGATTGACCCAATGAATGGTCCACATTACCTTGCAAGGCAGATGAATGCAATTTACAGATATTTTTGGAAGGCAGCATTCAATCATGCACAGGTTGACACATTGTACATGTGTTACACTTGGGCATCTCCTGTGCAGCGTTACATCAATGCAGGTCAGATGTTACTTAAGTTTTCAGCCAGTTTTCCAGTCATGACTGTGTAAATTTTTTAGGATTTCTTGAGAAACTTTCAGGTCTCAGTTCACATTTTTTTTCCCCAAATGGAGACGTAAATGTTACATGCTGTATAAATTTACACAATTTACTGTAGAATGAAGCCAAATGATTCCCAGAAATTACATGTGCGGGGTTAATTCTACAAAACGACAAGATTTCTTGTTACAATAGGAATTAAATAATACATGTGTACATGGGTACATACATGTACATGAACCATTTATCATGCACCATTTATCATGGGTGATTTCAATTCTGAACTTCAATAATACATGTACTTTAGACATTAGCCGTACATGTAGGTGTAAATGTTACTCTAAATAATCAGCAATCTATCAACCTCTGTGTGAGTTTTATTTTGTCATTAGCGAATTGTCTGCCTCATAAGTATAGTAAGTGATATGATGGTTACCGCGTGTGCATAAATGTCCAATGTCCTACATGGTACATGTACATGTGTACGGCATGCCTGAAAGTTGTCGTCTTTTTTTTACAAATGTACGTAATTGTACATTGTTCACAATTTAAGGGATCCTCGTGCCACAAACACTGCTTTTAGGAGACCTTCACATATCACTGTACATGTACATGTACACGTACACTGTAGATGAAATGAGCTGAACTGAACAAGAAAACGACACATATTTTTCTCTCTTGTTCATTTCCTGATTTTCAGATTGGATGGTGAGGCATAAATGTAACTACATGTACATGTAATGTTTTCTGATCTGTTGCCCCAGGGTTGTTTCAGTCTAGCACCCAAAAACTGGGGCTGAGCTGAATATCCAAATATTTGATTGGTTATCAAATATCGGAATTTATTTTTCACATTTGAATATTCGCATGCCAAAATCATGAAAAGGAAAAGGACATTTTTCTTTTGTTTTCAATGGGGAAACTGTCATCATGGAGGCTTGTTTCAAGCAGATTCAAATGAAAAGTGACAGAATGGCCCCTGGGGACATGGCCCTCCCACCTTTTGCAGGGCCTATAATGGGGTGGGGCTTAATGGACTGGCCTATGAATGGTTGATGTCTGATGGTCTCACAACTGGCTCCTCCCTCTCCCACTTTGAAAATCGTTCTGCCACAGCCCACCTGATGCACACGCACTGTGTGTGACGCACACGAGGTGTGTGATGTGTTTGGATCATTTTCATCAGAGAGATGGCAGCGTGTTGAGTAAAGACGCTGACTATTTTTAAGAAATACTGTAGACAGTCACATGTCTTGGAACATACATGTACATGTAAAACAGCAAATTTAAAGAGATGTGCATCAGTGTTGATGGCTTTTGGAGGAAGATTTGATTGAGAAATTGAAATTTTTTTTAAAACAGAAATGTATCCTGATTAGACATAAATGGCCTGCATTCAAAACCCACAGCGTTACCATGGTTACTGGTTACAGATCCATGGTAGTGCTGAAAGTCACGTGGAGTTGTGACCTGTAGTTCCGTATCTTTCCTTGTAGAAATGAAGACTGTTAACCCTAACCCTCCTCAATCGTTCACCTGTTGGAGGACTGAGGAGTGTTAGGGTTAAAGCCTTTAGTAAAGGCTGCAGAGTAATTTTGGGCTGGCATGACTGGTATACACCTTGTCTACAGGGTCAAGCTATTTAGCGTCAACAAGCATAAATAAGTTATTCAAAGCATATTTATACAAAAAACAATAAATAATATTAATTAGGTTTCTACATACATGTGTATCATACTCAAGAATATTACAATTACGTAAAATGATATCTGAGTGTGGAATTTTGAGCAACAATATCGTTCTGCTTGTGCAGTCCAACCGGCTGCCATCTTGTTTTCACGTGAACGGCAGAGAAAACAAAGAGGGTGGCTGCCCATATATTGCAGAAAAAAATTGTTTTCCAGTTAGCCAGTAAACAAGCCTCAGCCTACATGTACAAGTTACTTCCTGAACAGTAAGGCACTACTCCGTAGTAGGTTTGGGCGAATCCACGGAATCGGGTAGAATCGATTTGGAATCGGAGTTGCGATTCCATTTTTTTAGGGAACTGAATCTACGCTGCCACCGATTCCATAATCTTGAGATCCGATCCAAGCAACAGTCCAGCGATTCCAAAAGACTGCCGTCTACATGTAAAAATGATCAGTCAATTTTTGAAGAAACGTGTGATTTTATGCCGATTCAAGGAACCTAAACCGTGCGGCTTTATTTTTGTTGCCAAAAATTGAAGTCCGTGACAAGACATGGCCCACATGCTTTGCAGAATCGTAGTGGCACCATGCAGTACTCTGACCCATTTGTCCACAGCACACAGAATGACAGACGGCCCACTCCCATGACTGCATGCCAATTGAGACTTGTTAACAGGCTGAACATTTAGGTGTTACATGTACATTGAGAGTGATGAAAACTATGCTAGAGTTTTTCCCACACGCCAAATTACATGTGCTTGTTCAAATTAATAAGGAAACATCCAAATTGAATGCAGTGTCATTTGTCTTTAGCGCTTAAGTATACATGTAACGATATCGAATGGCTACGAACAATGGCTACATGCATTGTTTGGCATGCACAAGGGTTTATCCACTACGAACACGAGGCAGAGGTTCCCCTCGTTTTCCCCAAATGAAGCAATCTACATTCAGAATTCGCATCTTGGCATGAACAGAAAAAAGTTCTTGTTAGCTTGTTATGGTTGAGCTCTGAAGACAAATGACACTGCGTTTGATTTGGACGCTTCCTTATTTATTTGGACAGATACATGTATGTAATATCACAGAAAACAATGTTTTCTTTAGCGGCGCTCTTTAGAACATTCATAAGAAAGAGAAGCTGGCGAGATAGGCAATGGCATCAGGGAAAATTACAATAGTTCAACATCGGTGGAAAAAGGTCACATTTCTTGGGACTTTCAGAAAATAAATACATATTTCTTCAGTACGTTTTTGGCAGCATGAAAAGAAAGGTACATGTACCTGTAAACACATTTTGTTTCCTTCTTGTCAAAATACGCATTTTAGAACTCATGGTCACTTCTATCAAAACTGGAAAAATTGAAAGCCGGTGGGCTACATACGTACAGTAGACTGATATTTTTTCACAAAACGTGTGCTTCCATGAAGTTAAAATTTCAAATTTAAAAATCTGTAACGATAATAAATCTTTCATGTTTCCAATGCAATAAAAAGGGATAATTTTTAATGACACAAATGTTTAGGAAACAACTTACAAATGCATTGTGCACGTAATCTCGGGCATGCTCAACACTGCATTCATGCATGTAAAAATTGGAATCGATTCCCAGTGGAATCGCGATTCCTGGACGGAATCGGAATCGATTCCAAAAGTGCTGGAAGCGGCCAACACTACTCAGTAGGCATAAGGTGTACGGAGTAGTAAGTTACATGTACTGTTCAGGAAGTGCATGTAACAAGTAACCTGCGACTTAAATATCCCGTTGTGGAGGTTGTTGCAGTACTTGGAAGATGTCATAAATCATTCTGAAAACAGACATGACAGATAGGCCTAAGGCCCAAAAGGCTTGATAACACATACACTTTTAGTTTCACAAAAAAACACATTCATCACACTCTGCCATGCCTACAAACTGACAATGGTTGATTGCCCAAGCAACTCACAACATGTACAACATGAGATGAGCAATGCCATGTTAGACAAACTACATGTACATGTCAGAAGTATGCTTGCATGGAGCAAAAGTACGATGTACTTAGCTCGTAAGCATGGTGTAGTGTGTAGGCCGATGTATCGTACATACATGTACGAATCAACACAACATGTACAATGAAAACCAGTGCCACTGGCCCTTACATGCACTGTACCTATGCTGCTCGCCAACATGACAAATTTCTGAATGCATCATCACTTAATAGACACTTGTCTTGAGCATCCTAACCTCAAAGCGAAAGAAATTGCAGACTACTTACGCGACAGCAATTTCCCATCAGCCAGGGACTCTTGGTTGTGGCTTTCGAAAATGAAATAACCATCAGGAAATCACACTCTGTCGTAATTAACCTCCAGGAGTAAATTTGTGTCACTCGCTTTCTTTCGCATAGAAACTAAACGTCCTTTTCCCGCGGGTGTCCTACCAAGATCACACGCACACGTAAGGGGCGACGGATACCAGTACTACATCTACACCATTCGCACAGCGATCATGCAAGCAAGTTGAATCGCGCGTAAACCACGCCCAATGCGTGATTCCCCTCAATTTGTACTTTTTCTCCAACTCGTAATCGCTATTTATATCTAAAACTCATTCAAAAAATACATGGCTTTACAGGAAAAGGGAATTATTTATCCCTGGTACTCGACTATTTTAGTTTTTTCATAACGGAATACTCGTTCAATGAGTTCCTTCCCATTCATCTAATCATCACAGGGCTGGCCAGATGCAGATTTTGCAGCGACTTCCGTGTTTCGTTAGCGTTCATGTACAAACATAGAACATGTAACGACTCTTTTGATTGGCTCATTGAACCATTCAATTTATTAGTTTACCGAGAAATAAATTTTGAGACTAATCAAGAAAAATATCATTATTAGGCCCAAAATGTTAACGAATTCTTGTTCCACCCCAGAGGATCCTCAGCTAAATCTTGAGGTTTTCGATTAATTTTTCAAAGAAAATGTGAAGTGCAAAACTAACCAATGAAAAAATATTCATCCATCATTTCAGTTCGTGACAGAAGTAGTAAATTTATTTTTCTTTTTTCACAAATTTTAAAGTTTGTCGTTATATGTTTGATCTCATGCGTGTATTTATGTACAAATTTAAGGAAAAAAGCACCAAAAAACTCACAATTTCCCCCGAGATTTAGGTATAAAAACTACCATTCTACCACAACATACATGGCCTTGTGGCCCAATGGATAAGGCATCTGACTACGGATCAGGGGATTCCAGGTTCGAGTCCTGGCAAGGTCGGAAGTTTTTTTTTCCCTCTTCTTTTCCTAAAGTTACTTTCTTAGACGAACAATTTCTTGATTTTGAACTTTATTGTGACGCCCATATACATGTACTGAATATCCTTTCCTCACACAAGTAAAAGTTACGGTTTATGCATCACCAGCATGAGCACACCACAGCACCACGTTGGCGGCGCTATTTTAATCTAACAGCGATATCAACTGTTAATTTTGCGGCTCCTCGCCCACAACAGCGCTCGAACAGGGCGCTGGGAAGGGGCTTTGCACTGTAAGGT